ACCTTGAGAACTGATAACGGTGGTGAATACACAAGCAATGAGTTCAAGGCGTTTACCTCTAAGCATGGAATAGTTCATCAAACTACATGTCCGTACACTCCCCAACAAAATGGTGTCGCAGAACGTAAGAATCGCCACCTTATGGAGGTTGCAAGAACTATGATGTTCTATAAATATGTTCCAAAGCACTTCTGGGGTGATGCTGTCATGACTGCTTGCTATCTCATCAACCGTCTTCCAACCAAATGTCTAAAAGACATTTCTCCATATGAGGTACTAAACAAAATTAAACCTACTGTGGATTTTCTAAAAGTTTTTGGTTGTGTTTGCTATGTGCATGTCCCAGATGACAATAGAAACAAGCTTCAACCAAAGAGCATCAAGTGCATATTTATTGGTTACTCCACGACTCAAAAGGGGTACAAATGCTACAATCCTACAAACAAAAGAATGTATGTGTCTCGGGATGTCAAGTTTGATGAGGAAAAAGGCTTCTATGAAGAAAAAGATTGGGACACCTTAAAGGACTTGACAAATTCTGAATCTGATCGTGCTCAATGCCTCAAGTTCCTCTTGGAAAACCTCAACTCCTCCAATAGCAGTAAAAGAAGTAAAAACATCTGGCAGACTTTATCAGACTTGCGGCAGACTTCTGAAAACGTCCAGCAGACTTCATCAGACTTACAGCAGACTTCACCTGACTTGCAGCAGACTTCACCTGACTTGCAGCAGACTTCTGAAAACGTCCAGCAGACTTCACCAGACTTACAACAGACTTTAGAAAACGTCCAGCAGACTTCAGAAATCGTCCTGCAGACTTCTGAAAACTTGCAGCAGACTTCTCAAGATTCAGATACAAACACCACTAACACTGATTCCTCTGATGAAGATTTAGAGACAGCCATTCACGAAGATGATTCTCTTGTGCCTCTTAGAAGAAGTACTAGACAAAAGACTAATCTTGCTATAATGATCAAAAAGCGGTTTTGTTATAACTCTGCCATTGCTCATCCTATTCAAGCTTATTGTTCGTTAACTAACCTTCCTACAGATCATCAGGCTTTTCTTAGCAAAATTGACCAGGAAACTGTGCCAAAGACTTATGAAGAAGCAAAGGACAATGAGGTTTGGATTGTAGCTATTGATGAAGAACATGGAGCCATGAAAATAAACAACACTTGGGATGTGGTGGAACTTCCTAAGGTTAAGAAACCAGTTGGATCCAAATGGATTTTCACAATCAAATATCATAGCAATGGTGAAATCGAAAGGCACAAAGCTAGATTAGTCGCTAAAGGCTTCACTCAAACCTATGGAGAAGACTATAAAGACACGTTTGCTGCTATTGCCAAACTTCATACGGTACACGTTGTCCTTTCTCTTGCCACTAACCTCTCTTGGGATTTATGGGAGATGGATGTTAAGAATGATTTCCTTCAAGGAGAGCTTGAAGAAGAAGTCTATATGTTACCACCTCCGGGCATTGACGTTGAAGATGGCAAAGTCTTAAAATTAAAGAAGGCTATTTATGGTCTAAAACAATCTCCACGTGCTTGGTATCACAAACTAAGTAAAACCCTTCTTGATCATGGTTTTAGAAAGTCAGAACCAGATCATTCGCTATTCACAATTCAGGGGGAAACAGGTATTGTTGTTGTTCTTATCTATGTTGATGATATTATCATCTCCGGTGATGATAAAGAAGGTATTCAAAATACTAAGTCTCTTCTTAAATCTACTTTTGATATTAAAGATTTAGGTGAACTAAAGTACTTTCTTGGCATAGAAGTATGTCGTTCTCCGGAAGGACTATTCTTATCCCAAAGAAAGTACACACTTGATCTTCTTAGTGAAACAGGAAAGCTTGGAGCTAAACCAGCAAAGACTCCTCTTGAAGAAAGATACAAGGATTGCCGTAAGGGGGAACCTGAGGGGGAACCATACGAAAACATTAGACAATACCAAAGAATTGTGGGTAAGCTCATTTATCTCACAATTACTCGTCCTGACTTATGCTTTGCTGTGAACCAGGTCAGTCAACACATGCAAGCACCAACCATTCATCACTGGAATATGGTGGAAAGAATCCTTAAGTACCTAAAGGGAACCCCAGGCAAAGGAATTTGGATGCAGAAGAATGGTCACACCGAGATCGTTGGCTATTGTGATGCAGATTGGGTTGGAGATCGTTCAGACAGGAAATCAACTTCAGGCTATTGTACATTTGTTGGTGGGAACCTTGTCACATGGAAAAGCAAGAAGCAAAAAGTGCTTTCAAGGTCAAGTGCAGAAGCCGAATATAGAGCTATGGCGAATACAACTGATGAACTTATTTGGCTAAAGGCATTACTTTTGGATTTAGGAATCAAGACTCCTCAACCAATCACCATGCATTGTGATAATCAAGCTACAATTCACATTGCCTCCAACTCTGTCTTCCATGAATGCACCAAACATATTGAAGTGGATTGTCATCACATCCGGGAGAAAGTTGAACTTGGAGTTATCATTCCTACTTACACAAGAAGTTCATATCAGCTCGCTGATATCTTCACTAAAGCTGCAAATTCAAAGGTCTGCAACTTCATTCATGGCAAGCTTGGCTTAGTCGATCTTCACCAATCAAGAAGATGATTGTTGCACTCTTTTTCTCTTTACCATGGTTTTTCCCACTGGGTTTTCCTGGTAAGGTTTTTAATGAGGCAACTCCATTCTTGGCAAGCTTGGCTTGATTAACATCTCCCAGCCAACCTTGAGGGGGAATGTTAATCCAACCACTTTTAATCATTAGTGTGGCTTCTCTCTCCTTCATGCATGAAGTCCTTTCTCTCTCCTTCATGCATGAAGTCCTTTCTCTCTCCTTCATGCATGAAGTCCTTTCTCTCTCCTTCATGCAGCCCCCCTTTTGTAACAGCTAGTTTCTTCTTCTCCTTCTATATATTTGTATCTCTTTGTACTATTCAGATCTAAGTGAAATATACAGATTCTCTCTGTTCACTATTCTCTCTATTCTCTATTCTCTTCCGCTTATACTTTTCTACAGTCTCTACATTATAATTTGGATTCACTTGCCAGAGCTACATTGGACCTTGCTTTCGCAAAAAAAACATATGGGCTGGTTTACGGGGATGTGACGCCTCTCACCAGCGGGATACGCAACGTCAAGACCCTGCACTTGACTTCTTCTGCTGTCGAGGCCAGTTTTTCTGTATATGCTCTCATCATCTTTTTTTAGATGTCGACTGCCAAAGAAAAACATTCTTTGTGTGTATATTTCAGGTGATCTCAGTATGCTGCAAAGGTGGAATACCGGTGTTCAACAACCTCCTTGAGTTAGTGTTTTCGAGTAAAAAAAAAGGTTGGAGAGTGCTTCTGCCACTTCTGCTGGAGCGTTCTCCAAAGCTAAAAACTCTGGTTCTCTCGGTATGAAGCAAACCCTGGACAAATCTTACTTTATATATATATGAATGTGGCATCATGACATTAAAGTAGTCTCTCCTCTTGATGCTTCAGGGTCTGCATCGTTACACAAATAGAAGAAATCGGTTTGTGGAGATTCGCATTCCCACAAATAACCAAGTAAAGATGTTGAGTATCAAGCAGTATCAAGGAAGTGCACACGAGCTGAAACACATAAGCCATTTCTTAAATAAAATGGAGTGTCTTGAAGTTGTAAAAGTGTATGTGTCATCTCCAATGGATGACCCAAAAAAGGTGCAACTCACAAAGGATCTGTTGGAGCTTGCCACCGCTTCACCCAAGCTCAAGATATTGAAGGATCTGTTGAAGCTTGCCACGGCTACACCGAAGATCAAGATAATGAAGGATCTGTTGAAGCTTGCCACTGCTACACGCAAGTTCAAGATATTGATACGAGCAGGGCCGGCCCATGGGTAAAGCCCAACAAGCCAATGCTTTAGGCATCAAAGTTTATAAATAATTTTAAGGGCATCAATTTTTGAAGTGTCCAGTAGTATAGTGGTTAAGTAGCTTTTGTGTAACCTTTGTAACCAAGGTTCGAGCCTCTTATTCCCTTTTTGCAAAAACGAATTTTTCTTTTTTTTTCCTAAAAAAATTTAATCGATTTGAATTTCTTAACTTCAGTTACCTTTTATATTATTATTATTTTTATATTAGACTGATTAACATTAAATTATTAACTAAACAATTTAATTTGTTTTTAAAACCTAATTTGCTAAGTGACGACGAAGATCTGGTTGAGAAGCTCGATTATTCAAAATTAATAAATGAATTTGCAAGAAAGAAAGCAACGAGGAATATCTTTCGTGAAGAAAAAAATTGATGCTTCTGTATTTTTCTTTTGGTTTTAACACTTTTCCTTTTTTATTTTTTTCATGTTAACATTAAGTTTTAGAGAATTATGTTGTTTTGTTATATGGAAAAAAAATATGGGGCATCAATTTTTTAATTTGCTTTAGGTATCAAATAATTTTGGGCCGGCACTGGATACGAGATACGGTAGCACATACAACCGTAGAGGTGTCCAAAAAGCCCAGTCTTAAAGAGTTTCTAATTAGGATTTTGGTGCTTGGAATAGGTTGTTTTTGGTGCTTTTTCTTTTTACATTAGGTTTTGTAACAGCAAACGAAAGCGCCCAAAATTCTTTCCATTATCTTGTGGAGAGCTGGAATTTAAATTTGCATGCCTTTTAAAACAGGGCTGATAGTGGTTGTTGATGATGAGAAGTTCAACCTTCATAAGGTATAGCTTTTGATTCTTTTTGTTGCTTTGCTTTGTTTTTGGGTTTGGCATAGCCTTTGTCTTTTCTGATAGGTATGTGTTTGATCGTTGAGCCGTAGAATTTGCTGTGAATCTCTGAGATCATAGGAACAGTGCTGGATTCAGCTAATGGATCGTAGTATGATGATATTAAGATAGTACCTTTCTTATGGTTATGTAAGAATGCAAAATAAATACATACATCTTTGTATTAGTATATGTATGTAATTATCCACTAATGTTGGATGTGTATGACAAAAAAAACACAAGATCGACCAGTACTGAAACATTTAAGTGGATAATTTACAACATTGTTGAGAACCTAACAGAGTTTTGTTACAGCAAATAAATAATTTTCTTAACCAAGACATAAAATATAGCTTTGAACAATAAACACAAACTGTACTCATAAAAACACTAACAGAGTAAGAGCCACCAACATAGTGACTCGATGGAAGAAGCGAAAAATTCAAAAGAATTATTCCACTTTTAAGTTACTTAACCTTCAAAATCTGTTTTGACCCACTGAACATGTTTCGCATTCGTTTTCTCTTCCAATTCCATTTCTTTGACATCCGAACCAGTAGCTTCTTCAACGGTCGAGAATCTTCGGTTACATTTTCTTCTAAAAGAATCTTCACTCTCAACTTCTAACCCTTGGAACTCTCTAACCCAATAACAATGCAACACACAAGCCAGCACTAGAACCATCATCTGTAACGGAATCATCGCCATGAAAACACCACATTCTATCCTAACTAAAGCTTTAGCCTCTCTTGGGTCTCGAGGCGATATCAGCAAAGCAAGACTCTGTTTCTCTCTACTAAACAACATTAAAACTGCCATTAGTTGACCCGTCAATGAGGAAACATGAAGGGTGATTCGAACAATGAAACAGGCTCGAGATTGGTGCGAAGAGGCACCACCAAAAGAGGAGATCAGAGATACGAGAGAGACCGCGATGAAGGCTAAACCAAGTGAAGTTGGAGGGTTTCTAAGAAGAATGATTGGTACGAAAGAACAGAGGGAGAGGAGGAGGAGTGTGAAATTCAGACACGATACAAGAATGTTTTGGAACAAACATAACAATCTGTGAAAAGAAGCCATTGATTTTTGTATTTGTGGATTTTGTGAATTGTGTTTTGTTTTTTTTTTCAAGTTTAAATAGGGAAAGGAAGAACTAAGAGCCCGTTGGGGAGAAGATGTAACGGCTATGATGAGGTTTTAACGGTTATATTGACATAACGGACTTCACAAAAATATCCATTTTTGACCTTTTGCCTCATGAAAATGACGGTGTATATATTTGAAATATTGATATTTTATCATTATTATTTTCATAAATGCCTGAAACTATAAATAGCTTTTATTTTGTTTGTCAAAGACTTGAAACTAAATTTCTACTTGAACAGAAATTTGAAAAACAATAGTTTTAATATATATTTCATGTTATTGATAATAGATTTTTTCACTCAATTAAACCTAAAACACTATCGTGTCGTTGTAGTATTTTAGGGTGTCAATCCAATCTAGTGTGATGCAAACAGATGAGATGTGATCAGAATTTGCTAAGTCAAGCCAAGCAGAGAGTTGTTGTTTTCTAACAATCCTAATGCGAAATAACAGAAATGAAATGAAACTGAAATGCAAACTAGCAATAGCAGGCAGTTGAATAACAAAGCAGGTAAGATAGCAGGCAATCAAATGGATGAGAGATTCCTAAGGACAGGGTAATCGAATAGCGTGGTCTCCTTAATCTATTTAGACGGTTGACAAAACTTCACAGAAGCTATCCCTTGACAACAAGTTCAAAAGCAAATCAATTCACCACCGTGATAGAAATTCTCAAGCAGAGCTAGACACAGACCTAATCACCATTAGCGATCTCTAACTAAGCAGGCAATATCGAATCAACTTGTTAAAGCCAATACCCGCTCTAAACGGCCAATACCTTGGGATAGAGACGAGTATCTCTGGAATTAGTGGATCAGACATTCCATCAAACACCTTTTGGGTGCGGGAATGTCTGGATTCATTTTCCAGTTGATCAGAAAGGAACAAGCAATAAGCGCAACTAATCCAGAAGGGATTCAAACAATCTAAACTCAACCATCTAAAGCGACTAAGGCAACCACGACTACTCTATCCCATCCTCAGAAATACAATTCACTACTCAGACATAATCAAAAACAATAGCAATGAAACGATTGAAAACATGATAACAAGAAATGATAAAGACTGAAACAAAAACTGAATTATAAAATACTTGAAAGCAAATACAAAGTCGCAGGAAGAACACACTGCGGCTACCAAAACGAGTCTAGGTAAAAACTGAAAATAAAGACTGGATGCCCTAGGGAAAACCCTTAGAGGCTGCTTATATAAGCGAAAAAAAGTGAAATAAGGAAAGTTCGGGATAGTGGTCTTCAAAACGAGACTTTGCGATCAAACATCTGATGGGCTGAAATGGGCTTCCCTGTGATCGAGTGAAACTGATCAAACTGGGCTTCGGGAACTCCGTCTTGCGATCGAGTGGTCTTTAGTGAAGACGAGATGGAATGGTCCAGCGACCTTGCGATCGAGTGGTGCGATCGAGTAGATGACGTGAGGTGGTGATCGAGTGGTGTAGAGTGGGTGATCCCTCAGGGCTTGCGATCGAGTGATATGTCCTTCATGACAGCTTCTGCTCGATCTTGCGATCGAGTGGTTTCTTCTGAAATTGCTCCGGGGTTGTGATCGAGTGGTTTTGCCCTTCATGACAGTTTCTGGGGTTGCGATCGAGTGCTTTGCTCTGTCAGGGCTCCGAGGTTGCGATCGAGTGCTTTGGCTGAGGGAGTGATTGAGCGTTCTGAATTTATGTTCTGTTTCTCCTCTGTTTGAACTCCAAAAGCATCCAAAGTACCTGAAAACAACCAAATATGCGATGCACATGCAATCCTAATGCAAAAACGTCCTAAGTATGCAAAACACACTAAAAGGACTACTAATGAGATGAAATGTGATTGAAACAATGACAAAGTGATGAAGAATGAATGCTTAAATCATGCAAATTATAGACATATCAACTCCCCCAAACTTAGTCTTTGCTTGCCCTCAAGCAAACAAGAAAACATAAGCGGGAGGAGAGGTTTGAAGTTGGGGACTCAGAACCAAAACATGTGATGAAGTAATTAAGCTCAATGTCCAAGTTAATAGTTCTAAGATGCGAGGTGAACGACTTCTACTTAAAAACTTTAGCCATGCTCTGTCAAGATCCAACTCACACTCAATTGCATAATGCGTCAAAATCAACCAATCCCTTTAACATTCATTAAGTTCAAAATCATGAATCAAGCTGTGCAACGTTAGTGAACTCGTTTGGCTAAGGACAGGTTATGAGACAAAGATGGTCCCTTTAAGGTGGTTCAGATTTTAATAACAGGGGACTCTCAATAAGAATAAACTGAGCTTTAGAAGAATGCTAAAGGTAAGTGCCAACCTATGCATACAAGAATAGCATCCCATCTACCCAATGACATAAACTGTGAATAACAAGTAGATGGTCCTATTTCTAAACCCATTGATGATCTTAAGTCTACCCTTTTGCGCTAAAGGCATATTTCGATATTTTTCTTGGATCAATCTGTCTTTTCTTTTCTTTGGCTCTTGTTCTTAAGGAGAAACTTTCTTATACTCTATGAGTCTAGTCTAGTGAATTGGTTTTTCTTAAACTCTTATGGCTCTTATAATCTTTTCTGTTTTTGTTGCCATCTTTTTTTTTTTTTTAGAGCATAACTTAACAATTCTTTACTTCCCAAATATTCACTAGACCTGAGTATGATTTTCAGCTTCCTTCTCCTAAAGACTTTAACCCGTTTTTTTTTTTCTTTTTCTTTTCACACTCAATCTCAATCCCAAATAAGTTCCCACCTAGTCCTACCAAGTCCGAAAACGCGGATTGGAACTATATGAGATACTACTCTTGTCGGCTCAAACCTAACACGTTCTACCAAGCTCAATCCTGAAATAGGCCTCACATGCTCTCACAAATAACATGGCTTGAAAGAAGGGTTGGTTAAGGGTGGGGAAACTACTCCAATAACAGAAGCAGCTACTTGGATTAACAAGAGTGGTGAATAAGTGAAAGAAAATCCAAGTATGTATTCTATCCACGAGTTCAAAACCGATGCAAACATGATAATTATAAGTCAGATTCAAGTTCAAATTGACAGGGAAAGGTTTCATGACATGCTATCGAGTGGTTTCTATAGAACATGGTGCGTTTTTACTTCAAAGTCATTCAAATGCATCAGACAACTAGTAACGAGGGCATTGAGTTTATTCAGTAAATCAACATGCTTACAAGGTTATTTCCTCATTATCCCCTATGCATATGCAATAATCCTAAATGAAACACTCTAGACTCGATCCTAAATGCAATGCAGCTACATGAGCACTCTGTTTTTGTGGAATACATTTTCAGAAATTTTCAAATTTTTTTTGTTTTTTTCTATGTTTTAGATGATATGCAGACTCAAATGATATTCACAAAAAACAAGTCAAATACGTCTTGAACCCTCCCCCAAACTTAAATTACACAGTCCCTTGTGTAATAAAAATTTGTGAAAGAATTCAAGATAAACATAGGAAACAAAAACAAAAGCGGTATTTACAATTGTGTTTTGGTGTGTTACATCAGGAAAATTGCCTAGAGATGTAGTCATCCATCTCCGCTTGAGTGTAATTCGTAGGCATGACAGGTCCTAACTGCGCTTCTGCCATCTCCTCATCATCGTGCTCAATTGCAACCCCAGCAGGTTGTGGAGCACGGCGTTCATGCGATCTCGTGATCGAGTATGTTCAATAAAAATTTCGAACTGTAGCCTTCCCCTAAACCAAAGCACTCGATCGCAAGGCATCAATGATACCCCGACGTTGCGATCGAGTGTGTTCACCATATTTCTCCTGTTACTGCTCTTGACAATTGCGCCTCTTGAGAACTAAAAAACACTACCAACACAAATCAAAAACAACAAGAAAATAAAAACTATATACAAGGATAGTCATGGGACTTCCTCCCAAGTGAGCTTGTTTTAAGTCTCTAGCTTGACTCCTCACACTTATTAGGCCTAGGGAGGTTTGTGGAGATGAAATGAGGCCTCCTCTTCTTCCTCAGTAGATGGATCATCAAACTCAGCATGCTCTCTTGACAAGTCTGCAACAGAGTACTCAATGGCCGTTTCTTTAAAGTAAGCTTCTTTCTGATCATCCGGATAGTCTTCTTCTATAGACCAGTCCAATGTGAATTCACATCCTTCTTTGCTAAGCTGAGTAGTTGCTCCATCATTTGGGACGTCTTTGATGTTGAGTGGCACTTGGTTGGCTTTTCCATGGAGCTCTTTGATTTGATCCTTCAGCTCTTTCACAATGTCTGCTAACTCCCTTATGGCTTTGTCCTGCCATTTGGACCTCTCTTTGAGTTCCAACCAATCATTTGATGCCAGAGTGCTTGCTTTAAGCTGTTGCTCGAGCTGTTCAGTCGAGCATGAGCTCTCAGGGCCAGTTGGAGGCTTCTTCGAGTTGTTGGTGGAATCAGTTGGTCGAGCATGTGTTGAACTTACTTCATTAGCTCTCATAACCTTTGTTTCAGACCCCATCAATCCCTTGTGTAAGTCTAAGGACTTCTCAGAACTCAAAGTCTCACTAGGGAGATACCCAGCTTTACCACTCTTGGTCAAAACAGTTTTTAAGTAATTTTCTTCAGCAAGTTCCTCTAGCAGTTCATCAGCTAGCCGATCCATTTCCTCAACTAAGAAGGTCTGTCCTTCTATTGTCGGCTTTTGCATATCATCATTGATGTCAAACTTCATTTTTAAATCCTTCCCCATATTAAGATCAATCTTCCCTTTCTTAACATCTATGATTGCTCCAGCTGTAGCCAAGAAGGGCCTTCCTAAGATCAAGGGATCTTTTGGTTCTTCATCCATGTCCAACACTACGAAGTCTGTATGCACCTCCAGATTTCCAATCTTGATAGGCAAATCTTCTAATAACCCATGAGGTAGTCTAACAGACCTATCAGCCAAGATCAAGGAGATGTTGCAGTATTTATACTTGTTAAAACCCAACCTCTTAGCTACTGAGAGTGGCATGAGACTTACTGATGCTCCTAGGTCACAAAGGCATTTATTGAAAGTCAATGGACCTAGGGAGCATGGTAGAGTAAATGAACCAGGGTCTCCTAGCTTTTCTGGGACAACCTTCTTCTGTATGATGGCACTGCACTCATGGCTCACAACTGTTGTTCTCTGAACCTCTTGAATTCTCTCCCTGATCAATTCTTTCAGAAACTTTTGGGAATCCGGAATAAGCGCGAGAGCATCAACAAGAGGTATCCTGGCTTCAACGTTTTTAATGTTCTCTGCAAACATAGCTCTGTACTTATCTGCCAACGTTTTCTTTTATCTACCAGGAAATGGAAGTGGGGGCTTGTAAGGAGGAGGAACAAAAACCTTCTCCTTGTTCTTAGCAGTAACTGGTTTTAGAACAGCAGGTGATGTTACTGGAATTGGTGATCGAGTAACATGGTCGAGTGGAGGGTCGAGTACTTCTGTTGGCTTGTCAGCTTGATCTTCATTGAGATTGAAATCCTCCCCAGCTTGGTCGGCACTGTCCTCAGTGGCTGGCTTAGGTTTCTCTCTGGTTGGAAGTTCTTTACCACTGCGCAAGGTGATAGCATGAACATTAGCATACTCCTTTGGATTCTGAATTGCTTTGCCTGGAAGTTGACCTATAGGTTTTGGAGCAGAAGTGGATGCAGATTGTCCTTCCAAGTATCGGACTTTGGAATTTAGTGCCTCAACTTTGACATTTAAGTCATTGTAGCTACAGTCCAGCTTATTGTGTAATTCAGATATCTTCTTAGCAATCTCCATGGAGCCAGATGCTTGTCCTTGGAGAAGCTGTTGTAGCATTTGCTTCATGTCAGAATCAGGAGCAGCAGAACCTTGGTGTTGCTGAGGTGCAAACTCAGGTGGTGGTTGCTGCTGGTAGTTCCCCTGAAATTGTTGCTTGGGAGCAAAACCTTGGTTGTAGGGAACAAAAGGTTTATTCTGACCCTGCTGTTGTTGTGGAGGGTACACTTGATCATGTGGATTGGCAACGTTGGTGCTACGGTAAGAAAGGTTGGGGTTGTTAGTCTTGAAGTTGTTATACCCTTTGTAGCCACCTTGATTGTTGATGTAGCTGACCTCTTCTAACTGGTTCCCCTCCCCATCTTGAACTTGATACTGCTCATCATCAAGTAGAAAGTGCACATGCTTCTGCTGGCTAAGGAGAAGCTTATCCAGTTTCTCATTAAGAGCTTTCATCTCTTTACTATGCTTTGCATCCGAATCTCCAATACCTCTGTTGGAGCGATCAAAATCCTCGTTATAATTACCATCGGATTGAGCTAAGTTCTCAATTAATTCCCAGCCTTCTTCAACATCCTTATTCAAGAAATTCCCATTAGAAGCAGTGTCCAGCAACATTCTGATCTTGGGCAAAACTCCCCTGTAGAGTGTGCTTAGTAGAGAAGCCTTCTTGAAACCATGGTGTGGACACTGTATAGTGTAGCCTTTGAATCTCTCCCAGGCCTCACAAATGGATTCAGACTGATTTTGGGTGAAACCGGAGATTTCATTCCTAAGCCTTGCAGTTCTTGAGTTGGAGAAGAATTTAGCTAAGAAAGCTTTTTTGCAGTCATCCCAGGTCGTGATTGAACCCCGGGGTAGCGTCTTTTCCCACAGATGGGCTTTGTCTCCAAGTGAGAATGGAAACAAGCGAAGCTTGAAACCATCTTCACTTACTCCATTGATTTTAGTAAGGCCACAGAGCCTTTCAAACTCGTCAAGATGATCAAGCGGATCCTCCATTGGCAAGTCGTGAAACTTGTTCCCCTGAACCATTGCAATGAGACCGCTCTTGATCTCAAAGTTGTTGTTCTGGACTGGTGGAGGAACAATTCCATGACGCTGGTTGTGATTGTGTGGGAAGTCACCAGCACCAATGTTGTTGGGTTGGTCTTGGTCATCTACAATATCAGCCATTGTGTCTGTTGCTGTTTGTTCTCTTAGTTGGCGAGCGATACGGTCAATGTTATCGTTGAAAAGGAGATTCTGATTTCCTCTTGACCGTGTATGCATATAACAGGTAAAAACAAGGCTTTAGCAGACCAATCAAAGATGAGTCTGTAAAGCTGGTTGCTGTGAGTACCTTAAACACAGACAGAAAAACACAATGTCAGTATCTTGTGTAACAAAAACGAACTTGATCTTAACGATTCTAATGATCTCAAATATAGCAAACAAACACTAAACTGGCAACGGCGCCAAATTGATAATAGATTTTTTCACTCAATTAAACCTAAAACACTATCGTGTCGTTGTAGTATTTTAGGGTGTCAATCCAATCTAGTGTGATGCAAACAGATGAGATGTGATCAGAATTTGCTAAGTCAAGCCAAGCAGAGAGTTGTTGTTTTCTAACAATCCTAATGCGAAATAACAGAAATGAAATGAAACTGAAATGCAAACTAGCAATAGCAGGCAGTTGAATAACAAAGCAGGTAAGATAGCAGGCAATCAAATGGATGAGAGATTCCTAAGGACAGGGTAATCGAATAGCATGGTCTCCTTAATCTATTTAGACGGTTGACATAACTTCACAGATGCTATCCCTTGACAACAAGTTCAAAAGCAAATCAATTCACCACCGTGATAGAAATTCTCAAGCAGAGCTAGACACAGACCTAATCACCATTAGCGATCTCTAACTAAGCAGGCAATACCGAATCAACTTGTTAAAGCCAATACCCGCTCTAAACGGCCAATACCTTGGGATAGAGACGAGTATCTCTGGAATTAGTGGATCAGACATTCCATCAAACACCTTTTGGGTGCGGGAATGTCTGGATTCATTTTCCAGTTGATCAGAAAGGAACAAGCAATAAGCGCAACTAATCCAGAAGGGATTCAAACAATCTAAACTCAACCATCTAAAGCGACTAAGGCAACCACGACTACTCTATCCCATCCTCAGAAATACAATTCACTACTCAGACATAATCAAAAACAATAGCAATGAAACGATTGAAAACATGATAACAAGAAATGATAAAGACTGAAACAAAAACTGAATTATAAAATACTTGAAAGCAAATACAAAGTCGCAGGAAGAACACACTGCGGCTACCAAAACGAGTCTAGGTAAAAACTGAAAATAAAGACTGGATGCCCTAGGGAAAACCCTTAGAGGCTGCTTATATAAGCGAAAAAAAGTTAAATAAGGAAAGTTCGGGATAGTGGTCTTCAAAACGAGACTTTGCGATAAAACATCTGATGGGCTGAAATGGGCTTCCCTGTGATCGAGTGAAACTGATCAAACTGGGCTTCGGGAACTCCGTCTTGCGATCGAGTGGTCTGTAGTGAAGACGAGATGGAATGGTCCAGCGACCTTGCGATCGAGTGGTGCGATCGAGTAGATGACGTAAGATGGTGATCGAGTGGTGTAGAGTGGGTGATCCCTCAGGGCTTGCGATCGAGTGATATGTCCTTCATGACAGCTTCTGCTCGATCTTGCGATCGAGTGGTTTCTTATGAAATTGCTCTGGGGTTGTGATCGAGTGGTTTTGCCCTTCATGACAGTTTCTGGGGTTGCGATCGAGTGCTTTGCTCTGTCAGGGCTCCGAGGTTGCGATCGAGTGCTTTGGCTGAGGGAGTGATTGAGCGTTCTGAATTTCTGTTCTGTTTCTCCTCTGTTTGAACTCCAAAAGCATCCAAAGTACCTGAAAACAACCAAATATGCGATGTACATGCAATCCTAATGCAAAAACGTCGTAAGTATGCAAAACACACTAAAACGACTACTAATGAGATGAAATGTGATTGAAACAATGACAAAGTGATGAAGAATGAATGCTTAAATCATGCAAATTATAGACATATCAGTTATCCATAAAATACTCTTTTATGTTACTTGTATTTTTTAGCATTTAAAATAGATTTCCATTTTTCCCAATTGTAATATTTTATTAAACATAACCAGACCATACATGGACTACCAAAAACTCCCACGAAAAGTTTAGAGAAATATTTGAGGTACAATAAAAGTCTATCAGATTATTGTCTACTGTAGAAGAAATTTTGTGTGGATTCCACCAAAACCCACGTGTCAACAACTGAATACAAACACGACACATGCTCGATGAGTAATTTTACGAAATCCAACATCAATTTCTGCCGTTGAAAAGATCATTATCGAAATACAATCGATCGTTGATTCCTTTGTTTGTCATTATTGCTAAGCCAATCGGAATATAATATGCATCGAAAGATTCTTCTTTCCTTCAAACCAAAACACAATCTCTGTAATGATTTCTGCAAAAACCGAGATCTCAAACGAAACAAGCTGGAGAAATCCATCACTAAGTGACACAACACCTAAAAGGCTAAAACAACATTACCAAGTACCAACCCAGATCCAATGATTTTATTAAAAAAAAAACAACGGAATCCGGAAATAGGATGACTATGAAGGTAAAGTAATTTTCACTAAATCCAGGAGCCCAATGTGGAGTCTCTAACATCCCAAAATGTTTTTTTTTTTTTGGTAATTCACATCCCAAAATGTTTCATGACTATATATTATAATTTCACTAATAAGGTAACTACTAAATTTTTTTCCAACAAGTTAAGTACTAATTGTTAGTTTTGTTTTAGTCAAAATATTTCAAAAACTAATATTCTTGACTTAAGAAAACTTTAATTTGAAATATGATTTATTTTAATTCTATCATATGAATAATGTGGTAAATTATATATTTTAACATATACAGTTACAAATAATTTCAATTTTGAAAAAAATAGTTGCTTTATATTTAAAAATTTATTATACCCACAAAATTGGAAAAAAAAAACATAACATGTTCTTATAAGTCAACCAACATTAAAAAACATATTCATAATTTAATAATATACTAGATCCTGACCCGCACATACTTGCTGGATTTCATATTTTAAGAAATTTGTTGTAATAAATTTTTATTAAATATATGATTATTTTGTTGTTTTAGTGACAGATATTGTATTGGATAAATTATAATGTACACAGAAAAGTATAAAATGTTATTTATGTTGCTTATGACACAATAGCAACCATAAGTCATTTTTTGGAGTTTGAAATCGAAGAGTAGATTAGAATAAAATCTTAGATTGAAATATAATATAAGTTAGATTGATGTAAAAAAATATTATATAGTTATAGTATCTATAACATAAACTCATAACAGTTGGTTGAAATATTTGAAATAATAATGATTTTAATAGTATTTTAAAATTCGTAACAATCAAACGGTCGGACCAAGATCAATGGTTAGATAGATTTTTATTAAACTTGTGAACATTAAACTTGTAGACTATCAAACCGTATATAAAACCGTTAAAATGATTAAACGTTTGCGAGAAATAGAAATATTTAGAGATAGACGTAATTCCCATTCAATTTTATCATGTTCCATTATATCTTACCCGTTCTCAAATTTATGTCTCATTAAAAACGCATTTCTAATATAAGACAAATTTTGTATTCCCGATTAGAAACAGGACGTGACGGAAACAAAAATTCTCAATATCCTGTTTGGGACAAACACAAATATAAGTCATAGTATATTTTTATATGATATGATATAATAAAAAAGTTAGATTGATGTTAAAAAAGTTATTTATATAGTTATAGTATCTATAACCAAAACTCATATTAGTTGGTTGAAATATTTGAAATAATAATGATTTTAGTAGTATTTTAAAATTCGTAACAATCAAACGGTCGGACCGTGATCAAAATGAATCGAGTTAATGGTCAGATAAATTTTTATTAAACTTGTGAACATTAAACTTGTAAACTATCAAACCGTAGATAAAACCGTTAAAATGATTAAATACGTTTGCGAGAAATAGATATATTTAGAGATAGGCGTAATTTCCATTCAATTTTATCATGTTCCATTATATCTTACATGTTCTCTAACTTATATCTCATAAGAGAATGCATTTCTAATATAAGAGAAATTTTGTATTCTCGATTAGAAACAGGACGTGACGGAAACAAAAATTATCGATATCTTGTTTGGGACAAACACAAATATAATTCATAGTATTTTTATATGATGATATAATAAAAAATAGTAAATTAATTGACTTCTTTATTCTCATTGTTTTATATTTTGTTTATAAATATTAAATTACATTTGTTTGTTTTTTAAATTTAACTATTATAGAACATACTATAATAACAATATTTATTATTTTGAATATTTTTATGCTATTAAATTGAAAACACATGTTACATATTTGATTGCAAACGTTAATTTGTTTGAATTGTAACTTGTTCTAATCTAAAATCTATGTTTTTATCCCGTCCTGTCTCCTTCCATGTCGTTCATGTTTCGTAATTCCTATTCTCGTTATATTACATTAAATATCATTTTCCGAGTTTATTTTTGCTTATCTTTAAACACCATACAATATACGGTTGTAAGTTTTGGGGATTAACATATGTTTTGTTAAAATTTGTAAACATACCGTAAATTAAAACATGAAAACAAATTGAAAAAATAATGATCTATCAACTAATCTTAACAAAATCATAAAACTAAGAATAAATTAAAAAGTAGCTTGTAATTAATTAAATAAGTCATCTTGATTTGAATTCAATAGTTCCTTAAATTTATTTTAATGTTATTTGAAAAAGAAAATAATCAATTCTAAAAGAACGTGTATTCCAAAATATTGTAACAATTTGATACAAAATAAAATAATTTATTTGATTTGAAATTGAATAATTTATTTGGAGATATAGTAAATATTATAGTACGTTTTAAAAATATATTAAAAATTTAGGTTAGTTATATATATTTAAAATAATGAAAACTACCCATTTAAAAAAAAATATAATCTAAAATTTTATATCATTTAAACTCTAATTAAATGTTAAATATTTTAATTAGATTAGATTGCCATTTTCTAAAACAAATATTATCTTACGAAAATAATTTAGTTTATATATATGCAATTTCAAATTAAATATACACAATTACCTCTTTCGGTTTATTAATTTTCCTTCTTCAAATTTAAAAATATCAATGACATTTTTTGTAATTATTTACCTTTAATAAGGTTATATTTTATCTAACGCTTCCCAATTAATAGTATAAATCTACATTATTAATATCATAAACTTTTATAGATTGGTAACATTGTTGATAAATATTTCTCGTTGCAAAATTGATAATATCGTTGATAAATAATTATAATTTTAATATTTACCAACCCGCAAATATTTAATTTTATTTAAAAAAATATTATTTCTATTATTAATTTAGTTTAGTTGCTAATAATTTAACGTTTACATCTATACTATTAATTGTTTACATATTACTATTTGACAAATACAATATTAGATGGAATGTATGTCACATATTTTATTTTGGGGCTTTTGCAAAAATGCCCATTTTTCAATGCCACTTTTCAAAAATGCCTCTTCTTTAAAACCTTATAAAAAATGCTCTTAAAAATATAAGATTTACGCAAATATTTATGTAACATTATTAAAACATACACAAACTACATTTCTATGTATCTAAAATCTTATAAATATTTTATAAATACCTTATAAATGCATTTTAAATACCTTTAAAATATCTTGTAAAACCTTTGAAAAACCTTAAAAATCCTTTAAAATAACTTGTAAAACCTTTTAAAACACCTTATAAAACCTTATAAATACTTGGATCGAGTCTTCAAGTAGTAGTTACAATCCATAAGTACCTTATAAACCTAATAAAACTTTATAAAAATTTCAGATTTAAAAAGGGGCATTTTTGAAAATAGTCATCTAAAAGGGGCATTTTTGAAAAGGGGCACACCAAAAGGGGCATTTTTAACAATTTCCCTATTTGTATTTGTTTTGGCTATGTACTGAATTTTTTATATTTGGTAAATGAGAAAATATCAGAATATAGTTATAAATATTATTACTTAGATTTTATTGGTAAAATATTTTGTATTTTTCAATTAATGACAATCGATTTATGTTGATTTTTTTTGTTTTATCTCTAACAAATTGAAAAATCCAAAATATTTCGATTTATATTCGAAATAAATATATTGATGCTGAATATTCAGTTATTATTTAATATTTAATGTTGTTTCCTTTTTTATTTTTGTAGACAAATCATACCAAAAATATTGACGAAGCAAATCTCAGAATATATTGGATCATTTAATCTCGTTATTTGTTATTTAATCTCGTTATTTGTTGGTTAGTTTTGCCAATTTCCCTTAATAATATAGATTCAAGACGTCAGAAGAAACTTAAAAAAAAAAAAAAAAACCCTACGGCAGTATCAATCGCCGTCGTGTTCTGTAAAGGAGATGATATGTCTGATCTTTGTGTTTACCTTGATCAATTCTTACTTGTCTGTTTGTTCACCGAATTCGCTTCTTTCATGTGCGTCTTCTTGCCCCTTTTCTTCTAGGGTTTGTTTCGATGAATTCGAATTTGGATTTTAGTTCAATAGATAAAGAATCTGAATTTTTTTCTCAAATTTGATGCTTCTTAGTGTTAGTGTTACTGATAGTGATATTGTTAATGTTGGTTGCAAACTTGCAATGTGTTTATTAGTAGTAACTAGTAAGTAGTTAAGCTCAAATTTGATGATCCCTTCATGCTTACTTTCAATTCGATTATTGATTTTTCTATATCCTGGAGAAGAAAGCTTGAACCTTTAAGTTTTGTTTTTGGGTTTAAATTGAACCTTAAAGCTTTGACCTTTAAATTGAACTCTCTCTTTTTCTTTTTCATGTTTCAGGTACCACTAGTAATGGGTTCAATGAATTGTCTTACAAATGAGCTTCTTGTCCAAATCTTGTCATTCCTTCCCACTAAAGAAGCTACTTCAACATCTCTTCTCTCCAAGAGGTGGAGGACTCTGTTTACTTTCAGTCCTACTCTTGACTTTGACAACTCCATCCTTTTGCAATCCAAGAAGCCTAAAATACTCAAAAGAGTTTCCGGGATTTCGTGGATAGTACATTGGCTTTACAAGGCGGTAAGGGTATAAAGTCGTTCTCATTAAAGTCTATAGAAACACTTGGAGATGTAAATGGCGTGGTTGATGTAAACCGCTGGATATGTAATGCCGTGGAACACGGTGTCTCTGAGCTTCAACTACGGATAGACTGTACTAGGCGGTGTTTTATCCCATCCGAAATCTTCACCAGCACCACACTGGTTAAGCTGTCATTGGTAACACAAAGTTACATCCCAATTCTACCTACGGGTTATCTCTCCCAGCACTAAAGGTTCTCTTCCTTGATTCAAATTGGTTTGAATTTCCTCAATTCGTAATGCTTCTCACTGCTTGCCCTGTACTTGAGGACTTAACCATATATCAGAAACCTCATTCAGTTGGAATGCCATACGACATATCCAGCAAATCCATTAAGAGACTCTCAGTTACCTATACATGTTCTCTTTTTGCTGATTATCCCATGAAATTATTTAACACACCGAGTGTTATCGACCTCTACTACTCTGATTATGTTCGGCATCGGTATCCAAATTGTAATTTCGATTCACTTGCCAAAGCTACACTGGATATTCATTTCTTAGATTATAATGTCGCTGATGTGACAGAGCTCCTCAGTGGGATACGCAACGTCAGGACCCTTCACTTGACTTCTTCTACTGTTGAGGTCAGTTTCAGTGTATGGTTTCTCATCATCTTTATGGTTAGAAACAGGAAAACATTCTTTGTGTGTGTGTGTTTCAGGTGATTTTGTTATGCTGCAAGGGGGAAATACCAGTGTTCGAGAACCTCATTAGTTTAGAGTTTTCGGGTAAAACACGAAAGTGGAAATTTCTTCTGCCATTTATGCTAGAGCGTTGTCCAAACCTAAACACTCTTGTTCTCTCGGTATGAAGCAAACCCTGAACGAATCGTTCTTATTTTGTATACATGAAATTAAAGTAGTCTCTCCTCTTAATGCTTCAGGGTCTGGATCGACATCAGTGTTAATCAAGAAGACATTTAACACTAACTAAGTCATAGTTAAGGGTTAAATGTAGGTTACTTGGGTTACTCGGGTTACAGGTTACTTGGGTTACTCGGGTTACAGGTTACTTGGGTTACTCGGGTTACAAGTCTGAATGAGGGTGCTATTGGTCTTTGTGCACAACCCATAAACCCTAGAGAGTGTGTTCTCATATAAAAGCACTTGTGTGCCTCCACTTTGTAATACAATGTTTTATCTTTTAATAACAACACTTTTCTCTCAACTATGATTCTTTATTAATCCAAATTTCCGCTCAAACTCTCTCTCAATCTTAACATGGTATCAGAGCAAGATCCTCATTCTAAACTCTAAATCCTTTCTATTCTCCTTTCTATTTCTCTTTAAATCTCTGGCCTTGAATCTCTGATTTTCGTATCTCTGTTCTTCCTCATCTTGGTTGCTATTATCCAACGGTTAAAGAAAAGTACTCTTGTTCATTTGTTCTCTAAACTCAAACCTGTTTCACTAAATCTATTTCTCTTGTATCCGTTGTGCACTCATGGAGAATTTCTCACACTTCAAAAGGATAGTGATTCCGGTTACACTCAACGGTGAAAACTACCTCTTATGGGCTCGCTCGGCGAAGAATAACTTGGGTAGCTGTGGATTATGGAACCACATTGAAGCCATCAAAGGGAAGAAAGATCCCTCGATTGAAATCGAAGAAGAAGACGGAAAAGAAGAGAAAGAACTCACTCCCGAAGAGGAGAAGTGGGCTCAAGAAGACCAAGTAGCGCTTGTGGCCCTTCAAAATTCTCTTGAGACGTCTATACTACAAGCTTACTCCTACTGCGAGAGACCTAAAGAACTATGGGATACACTCAAGAATGTGTATGGCGATGTCTCAAACTTGACTCGGGTGTTTGAAGTCAAGAGAGCAATCAACAACTTACACATGGAGGATCTCGACTTCAAGAAGTACTTTGGAAAGTACCGATCTCTCCTAGCTGAGCTCGAAATGCTAAGACCTCCAACAATCAAACCAAAAGAGCTAGCCATGAGGCGAGAGCAAGACAATGTTTTTGGCTTGCTTTTGGGTCTAAGTCCAAATCTCAACGGACTAGTTCAACATATCCTAAGAGGAGATGAACTACCAACTCTAGATGGGGCATGTTCCCAAATCCAAAGGGAGATTGGTGGTCTTGGCTTGTTCTACAAGGGAGATCTACCCACGGCCAACAAAGGAACTCTTCAAGGGAAAGAGGAAACACCGGTGGCAAGCAAAGGAGTGTTTAAACCAAATGAAGATCGAAGAAACTTGGTGTGTGAGCATTGTAAACGAAAGGGTCATATTAAAGAAAAATGTTGGATACTTCATCCTCATCTAAAGCCAAGCAAATTCAAGGAACCAAGAGCTCACATGGCCGAAGGTTCTAGCTCGGGTCAAGGAGAGAGTGGTAACAAGGGAGTCTCAGGTCAAGAGCTAGCTTTGGTTCCAACTACACATATCTCTCAAGGAGATATAGTGATGAAAAAGGCGGACTTGGAAGCATTATTTCAAGCCATGGCCTCTAAGCTCAACGCTAATAATGGTATCTCTCTCTACTCTAGTATTTCGAGCACTTCTAATGATCACTATGTTGTTAATTCGGGTGCCTCTCACCATATTGTTAAAAATGCTAAGTTACTTGAGAATATAAAATCCACTAGTGGTCATGTTGCTACCGCCAATGGCAATAGAGTAAACATAGAAGGCATAGGTCAAATTAACTTATTTGATAAGAAATCCGAAGCTTTCTATATGCCCCAATTCACTAGTAACCTCCTTTCGGTGAAAAAGGTAACAAAAGACTTGAATTGTTATGTAAAATTTGGACCTAACGATGTGCATTTTCAGGATATTAAGAGTGGGAAACTACTTGGAAAGGGAGACACTACGGATGATCTTTATATGCTTAAGGCTTATCCATTACAAAGTACTTCAAGTGTTTCGGTCTTAAATCAAGTTCCTTTATCTATGAATGCCACACTAGAAGATTTATGACATTTTCGTTTAGGTCATCCTCATTCGAGGGCTTTAAGTTTAATTTTCCCAAATGTTGTTTTTGATAACTCTAGATGTGAGGCTTGTATCCTTGGCAAACATTGCAAGGCTGTTTTTCCAAACTCTAAAACTATTAATGAAAAATGCTTTGATTTAGTTCATTCGGATGTATGGACCGCACCTTGTATCTCAAGGGACCATAACAAGTATTTTGTGACTTTCATTGATGAAAAATCAAAATATACTTGGCTCACTTTGCTCCCTTCTAAAGACCGTGTACTTGATGCGTTCCAAAACTTCCAAAATCATATAACTAACCAATATAATGCTAAGATCAAAGTGTTTAGGTCGGATAATGGAGGAGAGTATACAAGTCAAGCATTCAAGATCATCTCACAAGACATGGGATCATTCATCAAACAAGTTGTCCATATACACCACAACAAAATGGTGTGGCCGAGAGGAAGAATCGACATTTGATGGAAGTGGCGAGATCCATGATGTTTCATCATAATGTACCAAAACGTTTTTGGGGAGACGCGGTGTTATACGCGTGCTATCTAATCAACCGGATCCCTACAAAGATCCTACAAAATGCATCACCATTTGAGGTAATTAATAAGTCTAAGCCTTCTCTAGATCACTTACGTGTTTTTGGGAGTGTTTGCTTTGTTCTAGTTCCCGGAGATCAAAGAAACAAGCTTGAACCGAAAAGCACAAAGTGTATGTTTCTCGGCTACTCTACTACTCAAAAGGGATACAAGTGCTTCAATCCTTCTACAAATAGGATGTTGGTATCAAGAGACGTTAAATTCTTCGAAGAACAAAGCTACTTTGAAACAAAGAGTTGGGACAATGTCAAAGACATCTCGGATAGTCCCTCGGATCGAGCAAAGAGCTTAGAGTTCATCATCCAACATCTTGGTAATCCGGCACCTACGGCTGAAGCGTCTTCTCCCCAACCTGCTCACAGCAGCCCTCAGCATGGTTACAATGATTATACTGTACCTACCGGAAATCAAACACCATCGGGTCCTTCTCAAAGCAATATGACCGGACAAGACTTGGAGAACTCCTCAGACCATGACAATGACAATGACACTATTCTTCATACAGCTCCGGTTCCCCGACGAAGCACACGCCCTCGCAATCCTCCGGAAATGTGGAGAGACAATCAGTTTCATTACCCGGCTAATCAAGTCACTTACCCCATTCAACAAGTTTGCTCGATTGACCTTCTTCCTGAAGAACATAGAGCTTTTATCAGTAAGCTAGATGTGGAATTCATACCACAAAGCTATGAAGAAGCCAAGGAAAGAAAGGAATGGACTAATGCTGTGGATGATGAGGTTCATGCTATGGTTAGGAATCATACTTGGGATGAAGAAGAGCTTCCACCAGGGAAGAAGTGTGTGAGTTCAAAATGGGTTTTCACCATAAAGTATAAGAGTGATGGTGAAATTGAGAGATATAAGGCTAGGCTAGTGGCAAGAGGGTTTACTCAGACATATGGTGAAGACTATAGAGAAACTTTTGCGCCAGTAGCTAAGCAACACACAGTCAAGGTTGTTCTTTCTCTAGCGGTGAATTTGGATTGGGAAGTGTGGCAGATGAATGTCAAGAACGCTTTTCTTCAGGGGGAGTTAGAAGAAGAAGTGTATATGATACCACCTCCGGGTTTAGAGGATACAGTGGCTCCAGGGAAGGTGTTAAGACTTCGAAAAGCTATTTATGGCCTCAAACAATCCCCAAGAGCTTGGTATCACAAGCTGAGTTCAACCTTGCTTAGAGAAGGCTTCAAAAGGTCACATTCTGATCACACTTTGTTCACTAAACAGGATAATCAAGGAATTGTAGTAGTTTTGATCTATGTTGATGACTTGATTATCTCTGGAAGTAACAAAGCAGGTATTCAAGCTACCAAGTCTTCTTTACACTCTGCTTTTGATATTAAAGATTTGGTTGTTTTGAAGTATTTCTTAGGGATTGAGGTGTGTAGATCCAAGGAGGGACTGTTTCTCTCACAAAGGAAATACGCTCTTGATCTTCTAAAATTTACAGGAAAGCTTGGAGCTAAACCAGTAGATACACCACTCGAGCAAGGGTACAAGGTCAATCGAAAGGGGGAAAAAGATGACACTCCTTATCATTGCCCCGAACAATACCGAAGACTCGTGGGTAAGCTTATCTACTTGACATATACTCGACCTGATTTATCTTTTGCTGTGAATCAGGTAGCTCAACACATGCAAGCTCCCACTGTTTATCATTGGAGTTTGGTGGAGAGAATTTTGAGATATATCAAAGGAAGTCCCGGCAAAGGCATATGGATGGGAAGAAACTCTAGCACAGAGATTGTTGGATATTGCGATGCAGATTACAATGGGGATCGCAACACAAGACAATCAACAACGGATTTTTGTACATTCATTGGTGGGAATCTTGTGACTTGGAAGTCGAAGAAGCAGAAAGTGGTCTCTTGTTCGAGTGCTGAAGCAGAGTATAGAGCTATGAAGAAACTCACAAACGAGTTAACATGGCTAAAGGCTTTGTTAAAGGACTTTGGGATCGAGCAGAAGACTCCAATCACTTTTCATAGTGACAATCAAGCGGCCATCCACATTGCTACCAATCCCGTGTTCCACGAGAGGACCAAGCACATAGAGACGGATTGCCACAAGACAAGAGAGAAGATAGAAGATGGTACGATTCTCCCTTGTTACACTAAGAGTTCGGACCAATTGGCCGATATCTTTACCAAGGCAGCAAGTAACCAAGTTTGCCAATTTATTCATGGTAAACTTGGTCTTGTAGACCTGACACATCCTTGAAAAATATTCTCCAACTTGTAGGGATAATACTCTTTTTCCCTAAGCTTGGTTTTGTCCCACGTGGTTTTCCAAGCTTAGGTTTTTAATGAGGTTATTCATACAAGTGCCAAGTTTATACACAATTGGGCA